GGCGGGAGCGCCACCGCACTTCCCAAGCAGCGCACTACAGCAGTGCGCCACTGGGCCGGCCTGGAAAAGCACTTTTAAGAATTTAACAATGAACAGTGTCTTCACCTTTGTCCAGGTGAAGCATAAGTCACTTATTGAGCTGTAAACCAATTTCCATTCTTGGGGCTGGTTTCTAGAAAATTCAGTGAGACAGTTTCCAAACGTGGTCAACCAGAGGGCAGGACAGACCCTGAGAGCTCCCTCCTTCCTTCCCTCCCAGCTCGCTCCAGTTGTGGAAGGACAGGGACCATCTGTGTGCACGGACACCTCATTGACTTCACACTGGGAGCAGCCCTTTCTGGACACGCCAGGCGTGGGCTTTGACTCTGGGCCCCCATTAATGTCATTATAGTTCTGGATGTCTCAGAAATAACTTCTAGAGGGAACAGCCCCTGAGGCAGTAGAGAGAGCCTGGGCTGGGCATGGAGACCTTGGGCTGGCTGTGCAAACTCAGGCAAGCTCGTTAGCTCCCACCTCCGCATAACAGAGAGAGAACAAGCACCTGCCCTGTGAGGTTATGGTGAGGGTCTGCATGAGATGATATTTGTAAAATGTTCCTTATGGGTAGTGAAGCACTGTCTCATTGTCGGTGGTTACTAATATTCCCCAGTTCATCAGCAGCAATAATTTGTGAAAGTTTTCAGAATAAAAATGGAATCACTGTGTTAAAACAAACAAACAAACAAAAACCCTTACAAAGAGAGCCGGGAAGGCCATGAAGGGAGGGTTCTCACACAAGAGTGCCTGATAGCAAGAACTATCACAAAGAGCCTGCAAAAGCTCCACCTCGCATAAATGCCTTTGCAACCCCACACAAAAAATACTTCTGCGAGGACCTCTGCACAGCACCCTTGGGCTGGTGCCACTCTTGTTACTGATCCTGGTAGCCAAGGATAATTATCCCCAAATAATTGTGTGATCCTCCGTCCTTTCTCCTCTAAAACCCTTCGTGCTCCTGTGCCTCCTGAACACGCACGTAGTTTACTATGGCATGCAAGTGCCTTTTACAATGTCATATTCCCAATTAAACTCATTATTAGTTTAGAGAGTTTCTCTGTGATTTAGGCTGATGAATTATGTCAGTAACAGTAATTGCAAGAGTCTCTTTTAAAGCTAGAATGGAGCCAGTTGTTTTTATTGAGGAAAGATATTTTCTTAGTGAAATTTCCCTAAAAAGGAATGGTTTGGAAGAAGAAAAGATGAAACAGTCCTCTTGGGAGACCCTTGCCTGTACCTGGGGCTTTCCAGCATGCTTTGATAAAGAGATGCTCAGAGATGTTGTTTCCCAACGTTTAGGAGATGAGATTCCAGAGTAAAGGATCCCACGTCCAACACACACCCATGCCTCAGTATCTCCACTTAGCGACAGACTCAGACAGGCAGAAACCACTCCAGGGTTCTCTGGGAGGAGGGTTAGGTGTTTTCTATTTTGACCACTTATAAAAGCCAAATAATCTTTATAGCAAATGATTTTCTATTGCTTTAACAATTATGTTGTGTTTTGAACAACAGAACAAATCAAAATTGAATGACTTATTCTTGATTAATCCCTCACTGATTTAGTTTTCGTTGTTCTTTCCAAAGACAAAATCCCAAGAAGTGCTCCAGAGGGTGGCCTTTCCTATGGGGACACAACACCACTTCAGAATGAGCCGCGGGAGCAGCCTTGTGTCCTCGGACATAGACGAGCTCTTCCTGAGCACAGAGGAGCCCTTGGTGCAGGAGCCAGGTACCACCAGACCCACCGGGGGCTGCGGGGCTCGCTGGGGTTGTCTGTCCCATGAGATAAGCCACTCACACATGCCCTGCAGTGCAAATGATGCCACTCACGTGTCACCTGTTACCTCTTTTCCTGTATGGCTGTGAGCCTAAAGATAAAAATATTATTAACGGATGTGGATAACATTTATTGAGTATTTACTCTGTCTCATCTCATTTAATTCTTACACTAATCCCATGAGGTAGGACCCATTCTCCATTTGACAAGTAGGTACCCTAAAATCATTAAGTAACATATCCGGGCAAGTGGCAGGACAGGGCCTTAACCAAGATCCAGTGACGCCCAACCCACCGTCCCCTGACCACCGTTCCTCACTGCCTTCTGGTCTTGGGGGGTGGTGCCCTGTGACGGCGTCCCCTAAGCCTAAGTGTTTCTCCTTGCTGAGTTTCAGAGGCTTTCCCTGCACACCCCTATCTCCCTACTTGGCTGCAGTCTCCCCATATTATGCACATGGGGAGCAGACGGGGAGACAGCTTATTCCCCGTGACAGTCATGTCCACCTCACAACACCCTACGTTATTCATGGACATGAGAACAGCACGTGTCTAAACTAGTAAAAGACAGAGCAGGGGTCTCTCGGCGTGGGTGGAGAGAAGAGCCGCGACTAAAGCCTTGTATTGGATTGAATTATGTCACCCCAAAACTCTCTGAAGCTCAAATTGAGTTTTACATATTAGAAACTTAGCCCCCACTAATCCTATTATGGTCATTGAAAGGTGGAGCCTTGAAGAGGTGATTGGATTGTAGGACCCTG